GGGGGGAAAGGGAAAGGGGTTTGGGGGCACTTCCAAAAAAGGTGAAAAAACCCGTATATGTGTGTACTACCTATTTGTACTCACCTATTTGTGGTTGCAGGGGTCGATTTAGCTCCTGGGCCCCCCCTCTTCCCTGATTGTACTAGGGCCCTCTCTCCCCGCTCCCTGAGCTTTATCATACCCCGCCTTAAAAATATGTATGGTTCCCGCCTCCACTACTTCACTTTCTAGGCTATTCCACGGCTGACTACTCTATGACTGAAGAAATACTTCCTAACATCCCTTTGATTCATCCGAGTCTTCAACTTCCAATTGTGACCTCTTGTGTCTGTGTTCCATCTCTGGAACATCCCGTCTTTGTCCACCTCGTCTATTCCGCGCAGTATTTTATATGTCGTTATCATGTCTCCCCTGACCCTCCTGGCCTCCAGTGTCGTCAGGCCGATTTCCCTCAACCTTTCTTCGTAGGAAAATCCCCGTAGCTCTGGGACTAATCTTGTTGCAAACCTTTGCACTTTCTCTAATTTCTTGACGTGCTTAACTAGGTGTGGATTCCAAACTGGTGCTGCATACTCCAGTATGGGCCTGACGTAAATGGTTTTACAGAGTCTTGAACGACTCCTTACTGAGGTATCGGAACGCTATCCGTAGGTTTGCCAGGCCCGTATGCTGCAGCAGTTATCTGATTGATGTGCGCCTCAGGAGATATGCTCGGTGTTATACTCACCCCCAGATCTTTTTCCTTGAGTGAGGTTTGCAGACTTTGGCCATCTAAACTATATTGTGTCTGCGGTCTTCTTTGCCCTTCCCCAATCTTCATGACTTCGCATTTGGCGGGGTTAAACTCAAGGAGCCAGTTGCTGGACCAGGCTTGTAGCCTGTCCAGGTCTCTTTGTAGTCCTGCCTGATCCTCATCCGATTTGATTCTTCTCATTAACTTCACATCGTCCGCAAACAAGGACACTTCTGAGTCTATCCCTTCCGTTATGTCATTCACATATACCAAGAACAGCACAGGTCCTAGGAACCCCTTTGGAACCCCCCCTTTTTTTTTGGAACCCACGGGGTTGTCACAGGCGCCCACTTTGACACCTCGTCACGTACCATGACTCGTTGTTGCCTCCCTGTAAGGTATTCTCTTATCCATTGCAGTGCCTTTCCTGTTATGTGTGCCTGATCCTCTAGCTTTTGCAGTAACCTCTTGTGAGGAACTGTGTCGAAGGTCTTCTTGCAGTCCAAAAAAATGCAGTCGATCCACCCCTCTCTCTCTTGTCTTACTTCTGTCACCTTGTCATAAAACTCTAGTAGGTTTGTGACACAGGATTTTCCTTCCCTGAAACCGTGCTGGTTGTCAATTATGCACTTGTTTCTTTCCAGGTGCTGCACCACTCTCCTCCTGATGAACTTCTCCATGACCTTGCATACTATACACGTTAGTGATACAGGTCTGTAGTTTAGTGCCTCATGTCTGTCTCCCTTTTTAAAAATTGGGACTACATTTGCCATCTTCCATACCTCGGGGAGTTGCCCAGTTTCAAATGATGTGTTGAAGATCTTTGTTAATGGTACACACAATGTCTGTGTGTGTGTGTGTGTCTGTATGTGTGTGTGTGTGTGTGTGTGTGTGTGTGTGTGTGTGTGTGTGTGTGTGTGTGTGTGTGTGTGTGTGTGTGTGTGTGTGTGTGTGCTACAGCTATTCAAGTGCCTAACAGCAGAGCTGTCCTCACCTAGTGTGTACATATGTTTATGTAAACAGTCCTTATTTCCCACGTATGTACTACATATGTATTGTATATGTACCCAATCTCTTGGTTCCCACTGTACTGTCTTATGCGTTTAAAATTACGTTCAAAAATAAATACACTAGGCTTCGCCTATATGCCGCTACCTCTAAATTTTATTAAATGCCAGTAAATGCTGGTTATTCTAATTCTGATAGCTCGAGGAGAGTGACCCCCAATTCCAGCTAGAGACAGGTACTATTGACCCCATGCAACTCAAACTAGGTGAATATTACTTGCGGCTGGCAGTGGAGTAACGTTGCGGGTCTGTCCTGTCCCAGAAGTTGAAGAAGTTTGATGCTTCTCGGTAATTTTTCCACTAACTTCCTGTATGCACTATAGTCTCTAGCTCTTCTAATTTTTTCACTCACTCACTGTATTTACTGACACATCTATACATATCTCTTATCTCCCTGGTCTTGAGTCGCACTTATTCTTCAAAATACCCCACAGCGTTATTATGGCAACACTATTTAGGCCTGACACAACCGTTCACCCTTCCAACGGCCCTCACTAAACACTCAGCCAATATTTCCTTTTTTTTCTTTTCTGTGATCACTTATATTTCCTTTTTTCGGGGCTTAAGTGATTATATGCACTCTTATGCGTGCACACGCCTATATCCTTATATCACGCTCAAACCGCGTGACTCCTCCACGAGTGTGTGTGTGTGTGTGTGTGTGTGTGTGTGTGTGTGTGTGTGTGTGTGTGTGTGTGTTTTGTGGGTTCGTGTGTGTGTGTGCGAGTGTTTGCTATATTCCCGTATCCTGACACATGGTAACCTTCACTGGACAGGTTTGTTTTAAGCTGACTGAAGAACTGAACAAAGCTGGAGGCAGTTGTTTTACTGTCGAAGGAACTCTCGTCTGGACGGATAAAAAAAATTATTCAGTGCAAAAAAAAAAAAAAGGTAGGCTATTGTGAGTGGCTGACGCCTCGTAATGTGCCACGATACATGAAACTTTACGTGTACCAACACTTGGATATTGATCACTTAAAGTAACCAAGGTCTCAGGGCCGAAACCTTGACAACAAGCAAACACTTCGTGAATCTCTGCACTTGTGTCCTCTCATCCAGGTTGTCGGTTGATAAACAAGACACTTGCCAAACATTTAGGTATCTTTATCCAGAATCAAGATACCCAAACATATAACACAAGTGTCTCATTTATCAACTTATCGGTTATCCCAAGCATTTATTCACAGGCTGACAATATTGTTAATACCTCCCAGCCTTCGTGCTGGTGTAACTTTGGAGGGTGTGTCAAGGTGTAACTTTGGAGGGTGTGTCAAGGTGTTGTAACTTTGGAGGGTGTGCGAAGGTGTAGCTTTGGAGAGTGTGTGAAGGTGCTCAGCATACCAGGATAAGTTCTGCTGGGTACTGGAAGCCGTATGCAAATCCCCAGAAATTATTATTATTATTATTATTATTATTATTATTATTATTATTATTATTATTATTATTATTATTATTATTATTATTATTATATTATTATTATTATTATTATTATTATTATTATTATTATTATTATTATTATTATTATTATTATTATTATTATTATTATTACATTCATGGTGAAGAGTTAAACCCGTAGGGTGGTAATCAGATTTAATAAGAAAAAAGGGTAGAGGGCATTTTCAGTTCCTTGAATTAGGGACAGGTGACTGAATTAAGGATTCTTGAAAGAATTAAAGACATTTCACTGAATTAAGAACACTTTAGAAGCAACAAGGCATCCTACCTTGAAGACTGCTTGAGTGAAACCTTACATGATACCAGAGATGGTTTATATGGGTGACTGAAACCTTGAATATACCAGGGATGCTCTCTCTGGGCGAGTGAAACCTTTATAATATTCCTGTGAGGTTTCGCAAGATGGATGAAGGTTTTCCACCGACACAGAGACCGGTGTGAAGCCCTCCACAAGAAACAGTACTCGCACCTATCCTGCTCCTCATACTCATATCAGACATAGACAGAGATGTAAACCATAGCACTGTATTATCCTTCGCAGACGATACTAGGATCTGCATGAGAGTATCATCTAATGAGGACACGGCAAATCTCCAAGAAGATATAAACCAAGTTTTCCAATGGGCAACGTAGAGCAATATGATGTTCAGTGAAGACAAATTTCAACTACTCCGTTATGGAAAACTGGAGGAAATAATAACTAGGACTGAGTATACTATAAACTCGAATTACAAACTAGATATATATATATATTATATATATATATATATATATATATATATATATATATATATATAATATATATATATATATATATATATATATATATATATATATATATATATATTATATATATATATATATATACCTCCCTAGCCTCACCATTGCCATGACGGGTAAAAATTAGAGAGAACTATTTTGACCTTATTTGTTCATATGAAATATAAGACCATACTTGTGGATCTTGAGGTGTATATTACACACACGTAACTCTCCTCATATCCCATCAAATACCACACTACAGCTCCAGGTCCATGACTCTAGATCCAGCCTGTAAACAATCCATCCTTAAAATATCCCTTTCGTTTTCTTTTTGTATAGTCATGCATGAAACTGGGTTGTAGTGCCTGACTAAGGTGGCACTTAACCCCCTAGGGGTCATGCATGAGTCATGCCTCGGGTCATAATAGTCCACTGGTTTTGGGGATATTAATGTAACGCGGGTAAATCAAATGACAGGGACCCCTCTTCCCCACCTGAGTCATTCCCATTTCCCGAAAGATACTCTTCCCATGCACAGACTGTGCATTTGTAAACACAGGAGAGACCACCACCTTCGACATATTTTTTATTTTTTTGCAGAATGCATCTCTGGATATTTTTGCAGAATGCATCTCTGGATATTTTTACAGAATGCATCTCTGGATATATATACAGAGAAGTATATACCTCTAGCGTATACAGAATAAAAGTTTACTTTAATCCCTATTATAGATATTTTTAGTATACTTTTCAGGTTATGAAAAGGTTACGAACGTCTTTAATAACCCTAGTATAGTTTGATGAACTTTAAACCCCAGCAACTAACCGAAGCATCATCTGGTGACATAGACTGGGTAGAGTCTAGCTCCTGTCCCTTATATTACCAATGAGATGGGAAAACGATGAATTACGTAACATTGCATTCACAATTTTTACACTTAAGGTATATTTTAAGCCGGATAAACAGTCTATTTTCACAAATTCATAAACATTTATTTAATTGGTGTAACAACTTATAACAAAAAAAATCACATAAAGTTTGCAGCAGGTTTGTATGTACATTTTCAAAGTAGTTATAATGCAAATATAGGAAAAAAAAAAATTTAGATATTATCACAGAAAAAATTCTTGAAGGCAGAATTTTCCTAAGATTTGATTTGGCGTTAAGGTACAGACTGATTCCTTGTTTATGTTGATTCCCAGAACTGTTGAATTTTCCAGTTAATCCATAGACGTGTTGACTGTCAGTGATGATGAAGCTCTTGTTTGCCACAGCGGGAGGAGAATCTTGCGTTTGTTGGTGCTTAACGTCCATAGCCGCCGCTTCCTTTGTGTTTGTTGCCTCCAATGCCGCCGCCGGCACCGAAGTCACCGCCGCCTCCAAAATCACCACCTCCTCCAATTCCACCGCTGCCACCGAAGCCTGGGCCTTTGCCACCGCCAATTCCAATTGCACCGCCTTCAAAGTCATCGCTGCCACCTAAACCATGGTCTTTATGTCCGCCTCCAAGACCACCACCGCCAAGACCACCACCACCTCCAAGACCACCACCGCCTAGATGACCACCACCACCTCCAAGACCACCACCGCCTAGATGGCCACCACCGCCTCCAAGACCACCACCGCCTAAATGACCAGCACCGCCTCCAAGGCCACCACCGCCTCCAAGACCGCCACCGCCTAGATGACCACCACCGCCTCCAAGACCACCACCGCCTAGATGACCAGCACCGCCTCCAAGACCACCACCACCTAGATGACCAGCACCGCCTCCAAGGCCACCACCGCCTAGATGACCACCACCGCCTCCAAGACCACCACCGCCTAAATGACCACCACCGCCTCCAAGACCACCACCGCCTAAATGACCAGCACCGCCTCCAAGGCCACCACCGCCTCCAAGACCGCCACCGCCTAGATGACCACCACCGCCTCCAAGACCGCCACCGCCTAGATGACCACCACCGCCTCCAAGACCACCACCGCCTCCAAGGCCACCACCGCCTAGATGACCACCTCCAAGTCCGCCACTTCCTTTGCCAGGCAGAGTGAGTCTGCCACCTCCACCAAGGCCCCCGAGAGGCTTCCTACCAATGCCACCACCCTTGATGCCGCCTCCGAGGCTAGGGAGTCCATAATGTCTGTGAGCTTGTGATGGTTCCAGGAGGCAGACCACCACCACCAGAGCGGCAGCCACTACCAACCGGTTCATCCTGTAAGATAAACAAACGAATTAGAAACAGTTCATAGCCACAAACAGATGAATGAGACGCTGCTCCTGTCCCATAACTCTTCAAGAAAGAACCATTAAACAAACTGTTCGTATCCTGAAGAAGAAAAAGAAGATGATGATAATGATAAAGAAACAGTGTCCTTTGTTCCCACTGAATTCAATTCAATTCAATTCAAGTTTATTCTCTTTAAGGGTTATAATGTGGGGTTTACGGGTTTTGGGTATTGTGTGGTTTACATGTTATAAAATACTAATTACAGAGGGGGCCACTAAGACGCCTAGCATGGTTAGGCATTTTGAGCAGACTTAGATTATTCCTTAACATTAAATCCTTACAGATTATGCATCATAATTTGTGAGTTTAGCAATGTGAATGCTTTTGTTTTGGCACAATACAAGGTGTCTATATTGGAGTATCATAGGCAAACTTATGACTAGTTAGGATTTATTATTTAAAGATTAAGATTAGTATTTCTGGGTTTATAGTCAGTGGGTGAGTGAGTGTAATTGTGAACCACCAGGTGGTTATCATGTAGTTAGTTGTCGAGGTGGATCAGGGAGATAAGATGTTTTCTAACTGTAGTTTTGAAAGTGATGAATGTGTCTGCAGTTCTAGAAAAAAGCTCGTATCATGTAAGTTTTCAAGTATTGTGCTCTGATCCCACTGAATAACTCGTTATAGGAGGTATTGGAACCTCTCTTCTCTTCCTCTGATCTAACCATACCACGGGTGGGATTGAACCCGCGGTCAGAGAGTCTCAAAACTCCAGACCGTCTTCCTCTGATCTAACCTGATTTCCTCTCACTCCCCATCAGCTGCAAGATCTTTACGGGCTTTCCTCTTGAATTCAGGAATAAATATTATACATGATAAGAGCGCAGAAATATAGAGGCACTGAAAGAGACCAAGGAATCATTACTAGACGAGTCCCACATTTGTCCCAGCGCACAAGTTTAAGAGAAAACGAACTTTTTGGTCCCGTTCTCGAAGCCAGTTAGTTGTGTAGTTAGTGTGATATGAAGCCTTGGTGATACACAAATTCGAATATCGAATATACCACAACAGTGTATATAACTTTAATCCCTGTACTGTAAGCTGAGCACACATTTCGGTGCACTAACTAACGTACACTGACAGATATATGCCAAGATATGTACACTTTCATTGTATCTTCACTGAGATACGCACATGTCTGTGTTGAGAGGAAACCAACATGCTTAATGTATATTTCCAATTGATGTTGTAAATAAAACATTGACAATAGTTCATTGCAATCCAAGAACCACCTCGTCTCAGTGTATACACTGAGAGATACACACCGTGTATGTGTGCATAGATATACACACCTCTGTATGTACATGCACACGACGATATATACAGCTCTCACGTACGGTGAGAGACAATTCTCAGTGTATATTCACCGAAAGATACCAGCCTATTCTCATAATCGAAGTTAGTTTTTCACTGTTACTGAGACAGTGGGACGTGTGACTGTTCACGAGCCTTAAACAGTGGTTATCTGACTGTGTATTTTAAAGATTGCTCGAGAAATATCATGGTGTACGTGTCTGCCTATTTTGCCTCAGTATTAACTTAACACCTTTATGTAACCTTCCTAGTATTCACAGTAGAATTCAGTCCTTCATAATTTCAGCCTAACATTGGTTAGTGTCATTTAATTTTAATTAACTATTAATTTTGTGATAAACCGAGGGATATTAGAAGTTAGAGAAAAAAATACATATAATTTCGACTTCGACAAAAGACTGCCGTTGTTTGAGGTAAGTCCAAAGCTGTAACTTTAAAGGACGATATTTAAATTACGTTATTATGTAGTTAGGCTTCTTCCTAAATAGACTGAAAACTTAGGTCTCGTAGACCAGTTAACGTGTTATCTGACACAGCCGGACCAAGAGACACTTGTCCTGAAAAAGCCGCGTCAGGAGACACTTCTGTTTGCTAGTCAGTCATCATCACTTTATCTGTTTCCTAAAATGCAAGTAAGCAAAAGTTTTGCTGTTTCTTATAATATGAACACTGAGTGAGCAAGCTAAGATAGCAGTGAAGCTCTTTACCTGACTGTGAGTTTAGAGTCGAGTGCAGATGAAGGTGTGAGGCAGACAGCGACCCCACCAGGTATATATAGTGACCGGGTAACCAGATTTCCCACCCGGAGGGTTGCATCCCTTCCCTACCCTTGACGATGTTGCTTCCCTTCTTTGTCTCTAGCCAGGAAGGGTAGAAGAACCTCCCCCAGTCTCCCCAAACGAGTCTGATCCTCCCCCTTCTGCCCCAGGCCAGGCTGGGTACAGAGCTGCCCTCTCCCTGAGGAGTAAGGGAGCCTCTCCCTGCCCAATCATCGTTAGTATTGCCTCACACACGACACTCGCGCAGCAACATTTTATATTTTTAGTAAAAGATGAGGGGGTGGGAACGTCTTTAATTTGAAGTGGATTCCTGCTGAAATAAATTTTTGATGATATCTAAATATTTTTGGTCGATTCTTATTAAAATCGAGTTTTCCTGAATCCCAATTTTCTTTGAATCAGTTTATTTTGATGTACAATCTAATGAAAAAAAATTGTCTTGTGTATTACAAGCATCGTCTATGGAAAGATTCATTCCTGGTTCAATACGTATTACAGAGAGACATCAAACCTCCCAACAGTGTATGAAGACTAGGAAAAAAAGTACTTGTTTACCTTGAAGAACACTTTACTCCTCTATAATGACCATTATACCCAGTGTTGTGTTTTCTCTGCTGAACATATAACGTTAATTATTTTTTTTAATTTAATTTTCTCCTGTGCTCTTCCACACTTTATTTCCCCATACTGACAGTATTGCTACTACTACTACTACTACTACTACTACTACTACTACTACTACTACTACTACTACTACTACTACTACTACTACTACTACTACTGCTACTACTACTACAACTACTACTGCTACTACTACTACTACTACTACTACTACTACTACTGCTACTACTACTACAACTTTACTGCTGCTACTACTACTACTACTACTACTACTACTACTACTACTACTACTGCTGCTGCTGCTGCTGCTGCTACTGCTGCTGCTGACTACACTACTACTACTACTACTACTAACTACATACTACTGCTACTACTACACCTTACTACTACTACTACTACTACTACTACTGCTACTACTACTACTATTACTACTACCATTACGTCTATTACTATCATTGCTTCTTTACAACCACTCCCTCTGTAAGTACTACTGCAGTTTGCTGTATTCTAAAATTTAGTACTGAGATGTGTTTATCCTCTGTTCCACACACTAACTACACTGTTTCCTCTCTCAGAGTCGCTGCGCCAACCTGCAGGAATCCTGGCAACACAGTTTTTATTCTTCTGTTTCCATCTTTCTTGTCATAAACATATGTTTTATCTACAGCAGCCTAATTGTAATTCTCTGTAGATTCACTATTGACTGATACACTTCCCTTATTGAGCTAATCCTCCAGACTTTTTTCCTTTTAGCTTGAATTTTCCTTGCAATGTTTCTGTATATTCGTAGTCTACATTTCCTTCTTTTCTTTTGCCTTACAGTTTATCAAGTCTCTCATTTCCTGCCATGTTAATATGAGATGTTATCTACACAAACTTTACTAGTACATAATTAATTATTTCTGCATTAGTAAACTTATGACTAGGACCATTAACTAGTTCCTTTCTACCATGTTTACACTTCAGCTTACTGTCAGCAACTGTTAGTAACATTTCTGAAATTCAAATTGAGCAACTTTGACATTGAATCCGAAAATACATTTGAGCCAATTCTTGATTTTTTTTTTTTTTGCAACTTTGGTGACCAGTTTAGGGGCAACTAATTCAGTCTGCAATGAAACTACTCGAGCCGGGACCTCTACAAACTTTTGATATCTGATTAGAGTAAGACTGAACCAGCAACACGCCTTTCATGATCTAGTGATCTACTGGTCGAGTCCTCCAGCAGATTTAGTGATGGTAATAGCTAGGCGTTAACCCTTCGTTACAACCACCGATATCTCTTTCTAATTTTAGGTTTATCGTTTCCATTATTAAACTTCCACCACGGAGGACACCTTCCAGCTATTGACAGAGTTCCTTGTGTAGCTCATAACAATATAAGTGGTTAGCACTTACATTTTTTTCAGCCTTTTTCCTAATACTGCCCTTTATTACTAGCGGTTTTAATGCCTGTACCAGAAATGTTTACCTTCTTAAAAATTTACTAACCAAAAAAAATCCAATTAGCAAAATGTATTTAGCCCAGTATCTCTTACCCACTGCTTGTGTAAAACATTTGAGGGGATAGAACTAAATGACTTCTTGATAAATTAGACACATGTGCAACTCTTGGGTAACTTTATTGAGGAAACGTTTCGCCACACAGTGGCTTCATCAGTCCATACGTAGGAGAAACTTGAAGAACAGGAGGAGAATGAGGTAATCAGTCCCTCAACCTTGAGTCGATGTGATAAGTCCATCAATCTTGAATAGAATACGGCATATCAGCGGAGAAGCAGCTTATAAACCGTATGGCAGGAGAGGTGCAGCAGTCATAGGTGGTGTCACATTTGTTCAATGTGGAAGTAGGTCGTGCCCAAGAATTAGGCAAGCGAAGAATTCCTAAGTATTAAGATTCCAAGAAGTTGCAGTGTCTGACAGGTTTGTAGATGAATGGTTCAGAGAACCGACATGTTGATAAATTAGACACATGTGCAATTCTTGGGTATCTTTATTGAGGAAACGTTTCGCCACACAGTGGCTTCATCAGTCCATACGTAGGAGAAACTTGAAGAACAGGAGGAGAATGAGGTAATCAGTCCCTCAACCTTGAGTCACAAATGTGTGGTGTCACAAATGTGACACCACCTATGACTGCTGCACCTCTCCTGCCATACGGTTTATAAGCTGCTTCTCCGCTCTTATGCCGTATTCTATTCAAGATTGATGGACTGAACACATCGACTCAAGGTTGAGGGACTGATTACCTCATTCTCCTCCTGTTCTTCAAGTTTCTCCTACGTATGGACTGATGAAGCCACTGTGTGGCGAAACGTTTCCTCAATAAAGATACCCAAGAGCTGCACATGTGTCTAATTTATCAACATGTCGGTTCTCTGAACCATTCATCTATAAATGACTTCTTAATACAGTCAAGCAATTTTTTTACCCTTTTACTACATGATTTCACCCATGGGAAGAATGTGGTCACTGGATAACTTTTTTTTCTCACTCAGCACAAGAACAGCCCTGTACTACCTTTCTTGATTTCAAAACCGCATTTGATATAGTTAACCAATGTGTTATAATTGGTAAATATGCCAGAATGAATGTAGTTATATGACTTACCTTCTCTGTCAAAGACCACCTGGTCAACATAGTATCTGATCTGCTGTTCCATGGGAAAAAAATTGTAACAGAAGATTTTGAATAAGAACCCCCTCAAGGAGGTGTCATCCGTCCATCCTTATTCAACATTCTAATTAAGGGTTTCCTAAATGCTGTTCCCTGGCGGACTACTTATTGTAATTTTGACAAGCTTTGCTGATGATGTCTTTAACTTTCAAGACCTTTTTGAATGAACATTAAAATGGTATAAAATACCGACAGGTTGTTAGGTAAGACACATATGCAACAGTTAGGTATCTTTATTTCGAAACGTTTCGCCTACACAGTAGGCATCTTCAGTCGAGTACAGAAAAGTTGATAGAAGCAGAAGATACTTGAAAACGATGTAATCAGTCCATCACTCTTGAAATTTTGAGGTGGTCAGTCCCTCAGTCTGGAGAAGAGTATTGTTCCATAGTCTGAAACAATATGGAGTTGAAGTGACAGGATGGAGCCTTATATAGCGCCAAGAGGTGAGATGTAGGCTACAGGTAGAGGTAAGAATGTAGTCGTTGGAAGGTCAGGTCCCTCTCAAATCCAGCCATTCTCACTAGTAGAAGTTGACAAAGTTGATTTCAGGTCTGTACCAAGATACCCTTGTGTTGCAGTGTCTGACAGAGTGAACTTCAAGGGTGATGGTCTGATTACATCGTCTTCAAGTATCTTCTGCTTCTATCAACTTTTCTGTACTCGACTGAAGAAGCCTACTGTGTAGGCGAAACGTTTCGAAATAAAGATACCTAACTGTTGCATATGTGTCTTACCTAACAACCTGTCGGTATTTTATACCATTTTAATGTTCAATCTGTCAGACACTGCAACACAAGGGTATCTTGGTATAGACCTGAAATCAACTTTGTCAACTTCTACTAGTGAGAATGGCTGGATTTGAGAGGGACCTGACCTTCCAACGACTACATTCTTACCTCTACCTGTAGTCTACATCTCACCTCCTGGCGTTATATAAGGCTCCATCCTGTCACTTCAACTCCATATGGTTTCAGACTATGGAACAATACTCTTCTCCAGACTGAGGGACTGACCTCTTCAAGGGTGATGGACTGATTACATCGTCTTCAAGTATCTTCTGCTTCTATCAACTTTTCTGTACTCGACTGAAGAAGCCTACTGTGTAGGAGAAACGTTTCGAAATAAAGACACCTAACTGTTGCATATGTGTCTTACCTAACAACGTTTTTGAATGGCAAAAAGTATTTCTAGCTATTTTAAAGGATTTATCAATAAAGTTTTTTGGGATTGATAAATCATTTAAAATGCCTAGGAATACTTTTTACAGTTCAAAACGGGAGAACCAATGTTCAACTAAACATATGTTGGTTCTCCCTTACCATGAAAACTTGGTTGATATGCCTTCTCTTCTTAAGAATTTTACTATCAAAGTTGTATTTAAAAATCTTGACACAGTTAAAAAACTTTGGATAAAAAAATCCCCTCAAAATGCTGAGGGAGGTGTCTATAAGATTCCTTGTAAAATATGAGATAAAGATTATTACGGTCAAACTGGTAAAAGTCTTGAACTTAAGTTAAAACAACATATACTATATGGCATTAGAACTGGACAAGATTCTAATGCTCTATTTATTAATGTGAGAGATTTTAACCATCCAGTTGGTTTTCAAAACGCTGAGAAATTTGTCCCAAAGTAATCATGGTCGAAAGGAATAAAAGAATCATGTTTCAAAAAAAAGGTTTGAAAATATTATAAATACTTCTTTTGGTTTACATAAATTGGATTCATTTATAATTAATAAAATTTTGGAAGAATTTAAGGT